AGAAAAGACGAGGGAAAAGACGAGCGAAAAGAGAAAAAGGAAGGAAAGGGGGAGGGAAAAAAAGTAAAGACGGAGGGAAGAAAAGCAGGCGCGTCGTTCGAGTCGAGACGAGTGGGAATTTTTGGTCTAAACGGAGGCCATTCGACAGCGTTCGGAGCAAAGTGGTTATGACCGTGTTCGGTGATTCGAAGCTCGGAATCCTGGCAGAACCGCGGTGGCATTGCAGTCGCAATCGCGTGTCGACCGCTCGTTACCACCGCCGGAAGTTGTCATCGACTCGATCGAATACCTTGCTCGTGAGCAACCGACCAAGCGAGCGGAGCGAACCTGCTCATTAACTTATTATCGATTACTCGACGCTTTCGGCGTCGCAGTCGGTCGGACTGTCATTTCCAAGTACGTCGGACGTACCTCGAGGTCCGCTGCTGTTCGCCTCTTTCGTCCTCTCGAGAGGAGACTGTCTCGCGCGAGACAGCCCCGTCGGAAGCAGAAAAACTTGCGAGACAAAAGGATCGCGCACCGGTCTTCTCGAATTTTTATACGTTGCCATACAGTTTCGTGAGAATCTCGTCGCAGGTGGAACCGATCCGCAGACAAGTGGAATTCGATCTTCGGCCTGGACCAAAGGATACACGCGGGAACTCGCAGCATCGTGCATTCTGCTTCGCTTTTAACCTTCGCCCTCCTTTTCTTCCTCTCCTTCGATTACATTTTTTCCTCCGCGTGCAAATTCGATTACTTGGATGCTTGCTCGCGTCGACGCGAGCGTTCCTCCAAACGTTTCAAAGTCCGCTCCTTTTTACGTTTCTTCCGAGCGTCGTAGCTGTCTCGCGAACCATTCGCACAGCGCCTGCTTGGCAGTCCGTTGATCCGTTAAAACGAACAGCGTATCTATTTGTCGATCGATCCGCGGGATCTGGTAAGACGAAAGGGATAAGGAAGAGAGGAAGAGAGAGAAGGTGGATCACAGACACGCCCTCCTCGTTTCTTAGGGAGGAAGAGGGCGAGGCCCTTCCTCGATCGAGCCCACCTCGTTTTCGATAATCACCGAGATCCCTTGGAGAACGATCGCTTCTTATATCGGTTTATCTTCTTCCTCTTCGAAGAAAAACTGGAATTTGTCCTGGCGAACGATACCCGCTACGTTCCTTAAAAAAAAAAAAAAAAAAAAAAAAAAAAAAAAAAAAAAAAAGAAAAA